TGTGTAGATCTCGTTCGAAGGTATACCAGGTATCCCATCGTCTTTATAATCATCGTTGACCATGTCGTCAAACTCTAACTCGTCATCTTCTTCTTATTCGTCAACGACATCTACTTCTGCTTGTTGGGCCTCGGGAGGATCAACCACTTGTGACAGCTGAGGCTCTCGCAACACAATGTACAACTCAATAGAGTCGTACCCAGAATAGTCATGACTAGAAATCATATTCTGAAGGTCCTCGTTATCTTGAACCTCAACCTTATAAAATATTATTTGATTGTTACAAAAAAAAACAGGATTATGATAAAAGATTTGTGTCACGGGACCTCGTCCAAGTTTGGCCTCCAATCATTTTTTGAAATACAAGAAATTGGCTTTCCTGTTTAAACAAAATCGGATGTTCTCAGTGTCTCTAAATAAAAAGCCAGATGTGAGACAAATGTATGTCTCACCTTTGAAATGTACACTGATCACATATTTTGGTGCAGAGGCCATTGTAATTGAATGTTTAAAGGTTTGAAGGTTTGAGTGTTTGGAGGTTTAAGTGTTTGAGTCTTTGAGTGTTCAAGTGTTTGAGCAATTGAGTGTAGAAGTGTTTTGATAAATATAGGATTAAATATGTTCTACTGAAATTGAATAAAACAATAGTAAGCAACCTCTAATTCGCCAACTGGGATGTCTAATCTTATTACATGCATGCAGATATGCCTTCCCCAAGGCTTCCACCTAGCATGCACCTACACTACAACCCATGCCACCTCTAATTCTCCAACAGGGATGGCGACACCTTTCAATTTTGTACTCATTCGCCAAGTCCAATGGCGCCTCCCTACACGTCCAATCGTATTACATGTATGCAGAGATGCCTTCCCCAAGGCTGCCACCTAGCCTGCACCTACACTGCAACCCATACCACCTCTAATTCGCCAACAGGGATGACGACACCTTTCAATTTTGTACTTATTCGCCAAGTCCAATGACGCCTCCCTACACGTCCAATCGTATTACATGCATGCAGAGATGCTTTCTCCAAAGTTGCCACCTAGCCTGCACCTACACTGCAACCCATGCCACCTCTAATTTGCCATAGGGATGGCGAAACCTTTCAATTTTATACTCATTCACCAAGTCCAATGGCGCCTCCCTACACGTCCAATCGTATTACATGCATGCAGAGATGCCTTCCACAAGGCTGTCACCTAGCCTGCACCTACACTGCAAGAGTGACACTTATCATGCATGCATGCACCCACCAACCACCTCATTTATTCACCCTGTGATAAAATTTTACCTATAAATACAGATCCTCACATACTTCTTTTGCATCCACAATCATCTCACTCTCTGCTACAAACTCTTTCATAATCTCAAACAATTTCAACAATGGCTCTTCTCACAATTGGCGATTCTCACAGAGACACAAGGGATAATATTGCAGCGTTTGTAAGTTTCTTGTATATTTATAAATTTTTCATACTTCTATTAATGATTTATACATCTTATGGACTCTTACACTTTTTACATTCTTAATTTAGGATACTAAAAGATTAAGAATTCGATCACATAACTACCTTCCTCCTGACCTGTTGATCATGCCCTATCTCGAATACGCAAGTTTCAGAAATGTTATAAAGATATCCAACTGAATGATTGATTCAAAGTTCATACTTGTAATATTGGAAAGGTGGAGACCAGAGGCCCACATATTTCATCTACCAATAGGTGAATGTACCGTCACACTAGATGATGTGTAAATGTTATTGGGTCTCCCTGTCGACTAAGGCGGTTAACGGGTCAGTTCAACAGCCTAATTCTTTGTGCGAGGAATTGTTGGGCAAGGATATGGTTGAAGGTGGTGGTGCTATAGGCCAGGGTATACTACTTACTAAACTCAAAAACCATTATGCGACTCTGGAGTTGAACGAAAATTCCTCCGAGCTAGCTAAGGTAATAAAAGCTAGAAATTATATAATGATACTTTTTGGAACCTTTTTATTTCCTGAAGTACGGGGAATCGTGTAAATTTCATGTATTTAAATTTACTTAGAAACTTTGAAAAAACTAGAAAGTATAGTTGGGGTTCTGCTGTTTTAGCCCATCTATACAGTTCCTTGTGTAAAAATGCAATCAAGGAAAAATTTACTTTTTATGGATGCACTTTTTTACTTCAAGCCTGGGGTTGATGGAGAATGGAGTCCTTAAACCCCGTCAACAACAACGCATTCGTTTTCCCATACGCAACAAAGTAAGTCAATAACTTCTATCATTTATTATTATTCATCACTTCACCAAATATATGATAAAAATAAAATATTTTTCAATTCCTTTAGGTACTACGTGAGAGGTATGGATTACGACAAGAATCCAAGATTCAATATCGCTCCATATCACAATCTATTGGACCACCTTGGCCCGGATGATGTACGTCATACCTTTCAAATTTTCTACTTTTAAATTATTTATTTATTACGTTTTCATTAAGCTGATTTAATTTTATCCGCAGTTTATCTGGAGACCATATTTGGGTTTGGACCATGAACCAAACTCCGAGGATGCAGCAATTTTGAGCGTAAAGACTGCAATCATACCGTTCAATGTTGTGGAGATACACCACAACAACCGTGTCAAGATGAAGTTTGGAATGCATCAAGAGCTACCATGTGATCCAACTTGTTTGTCCCTGTGACATCTCAAATGGGTTGACGCCCAATGGAATCTTACCAACTGGAAATATTTTTCTCCAGAATGGTGTAAGATGTGGCAGAGGCGTCACCGACATGTCTTGCAATTCCCAGTTTTCCCCAACCATGATAATATGCAATACACGGATCAATACTTCACTTGGTACAGATCGATTAGTAACCCATAAATGCACGTGTCTCATCCAATGTATTTGGTTAACCCACGAACACAATGGACACAACCCTCATTTCCCCAACAACAAACTTAACACACATCAACCTCCCACCAACCTCCCCGACAAAATAGAACCACAAGCACCCAATCACAACCACCACCACATACACCCACATGCCCCACAACCAACCATAATCACCACCTCATTACCAATACCCCCATATGCCCCAAACCAACCACAATTTCAATCACAATACCAATACGCCTGCATGCCCCACACACAATTCCAGTCTTCTACATATCCCAATATGGACCCTTTAACATCTAACCTTAGCCCTGATATGGGATTTTCCGAAGATTATGACCTAACTGACCCAACTTACCATCAACCACCACATCACCAAAGCACCCAACATTCCTAATACCAAAACCCCAGGACTCATTTCCTTTCGGTCCCTTACTCAGACGACCAGTGCTATAGACTAACCATGGAACCCCACCCACCACTAACACGACCAAACTTTGAGGGTATGGGTAATCGACTGTATCAAAGCGGATCTTCTAGATATGGAGATCTGACGGATTTCATGGATCCGAAACGCATTGACTTCGTTGGACCATCGACCCTGCCACAACAGGAAACGTGACTAAACCCACCACGGGAAAGGCGAGGACGCGGATGCGGAACCGCGGGTCGTTACCGGGTTCCGAGGGACCACTGATTATTTTGTATTTTTTATGTAATCGTTTTGTGTAATCATATTGTGTAAATAAAAATTCGAATTTTCGTGATCCTATATCGTTTACGTAATGTCCCGCATTTAAAATAAAAAAATGCAAACAAACATCTCCCCGTTGCACTAAGGCGCCATCTCACTTGGCTTAGGGCACACATTTAACACCTAGGCGTCAAGTGAGATGGCGCCTTCCCTTTAAAATAAGGTGTAGGCGTCAATTGAGATGGCTCCTCCTTTGTGGGGTTTTCTGAAACATGATTATTTGCGTAATTTTCTCTAAAACATGATTATTTGCGAAAAATATTTTCAATACCTGGTTATTGCAAAAATAAATTCAAAATATTAATGAAATATGATTATTGATTAAATTGAAAAAATATATATATATATAAAATATGATTTTATCTCAATAAAAAATAATAAAATTTACTTAGAATTCAAAAAACTATTATATTTTAAAATAAAATTTGTTACTAATAAATATTTTAAAAAATATTTAAGATATATTATTTTTAACATTTATAAATATTAAAATTTATTTTTAAATAAAGAATATATATTTTTCTGAACTTTAAGCAAACTTTATCATTTTTTAATTAAATAAAAAAAGCAAATTTTATTTTTTTGATAAAATTATCATGTCTAATCAAAATATTTAAGGAATACTATTATTGATTATAATATATATATAACTATTATATTTTAAAATAATAAAAGTTGCTTAGAATTCAAAAAACTATTATATTTTAAAATAATGTTTGTTATTAATAAATATTAAAAATTTCTTAAAAATATATTATTTTTTGCATTTATAAATATTAAACATTATTTATATATATATATATATATATATATATATATATATATATATATATATATATATATATATATATATATATATATATATATATATATATATATATATATATATATATATATATATATATATATATATATATATATATATATATATATATATATATATATATATATATATATATATATATATATATATATATATATATATATATATATATATATATATATATATATATATATATATATATATATATATATATATATATATATATATATATATATATATATATATATATATATATATATATATATATATATATATATATATATATATATATATATATATATATATATATATATATATATATATATATTTTATTTTATTTTTTTCTGAACTTTAAGCAAATTTTAATATTTTTTAATTAAATAAAAAAAGAAAATTTTATTTTAAAAAAAAATTATTATGTCTAATAAAAATATCTCACTTAAAACTTTTATTCACATCTTGATGACATTTTTTCTTATAAATACCAACTTCAACATTGGAGTAATAAATAAATAAAAACAATCGCAAGTCAGTATTGTATAATGGCAAACCAAATGTCAAACTTTTTCTGCTTCTTTGCCCTCTTGGTTATAGTTTTTGCAGGTAACAATACTCTCTAACTATTCTCATCACAATTGTTCAATTATAAATCTTACTAATTTTTTCTTCATTTTTTAATCCGAACACAGTTCAATTTATTCAGATAGATGGTGAATGCTCAAAACTTGTGGGTAACTGTGAGACTTCAGATTGTAATAAACTGTGTAATTTTAAAGCAAGAGGTGTTGGTGTTATAAATGCATCGTGTTCATCCTTACACTTATGCACTTGTACTTTCGATCGGCCACCACCAGGAGGACCAACACCTCCTTGCGATTTTGTGTTGGGACTTTGCACTAATTCTTGTAACTATGATTGTTGCGACAAAAAGTGTAAAGGTAGTTTTCCTAATACGGGTAGTGGGACATGTATACAAGTATGGGGTCGGGATCTTTGCATGTGTTCTTATACCCGTTGAACTTCAACTGAATTGAAATAAATAAAATAAAATATTATGTTCTTTGAGTTTTAAAAATGTTTTCATTTTTTTATAACACTTTTGCCTCCTATGAAAATATTGGGTTAACAGCAATTTGAAAATTTATGTATTTCGATAGTATAAAAGTGACGAAAATAATTGAGGAAGATGATAAATATTTTGTTCTAATTTGGTCAGTAAATAATTTAGTGACTAATTTTCTAGTTTATTTTTTTATTGTTTTAAGTATTGAATTGATGTTTGGAAATAAATTAGTGTGCAGATAACCATTGAGTTTCAACTTAATAGAAATAAATCAAACAAAACATTGTTTTCGTTGTTTCTTATAAAGTGTTTGTTTTGTTTTTGAATTAAAAGGTGATGTACGGATAGTATAAAAATATTTTTATATTGTCATTCAATAATCATTTAATTATATTATATAATTTTTTGGTAGATATCCTTTTTTTTCTCTTTGTTTCTTATGATTCTCATATTTAATGTTTTCCTTCTCTTATGTATTTTTATTTATTAATTTTTTTATTTGATTACTCATCCAAGAACATCACTACAAGAAAAAAAAAGCCCTTTAACTAGAAATTTAACTTCTCACTAAGATAAAAAAATATCTCACAAAGTCAACATTTGCGAGGGGACATAACTCCTAGCTAAATCACTGATCGCAGATAAGGGGCGAGGGATTAAGCACCTAGCCAATTAGCTTGGGGCTAAACCCCTCGCTAAAGGTAAAATTTGATTGGTCATTGGCTAGGGGCTTTTATCCCTAGCTAAATACCATCCTGCTTTTGCATAATATATGTAATATTAGCTAAGGGGTTTACCCCAAGCTAAAAACCATAATTTATTTTTTAAATTATAAACGTAATTATTTTATTTATTTATTATTATTATATTTATAATCAATTAATTTCATAATTATAATTTAATTAATTAAAAAATTCAATATTAATAATATTAGTAATATATTTTTAAATATAATACATAATATAATTTATAATTAATATTATATTAATATAATACTGAATCAAAATTAAAATATTACAAGAATATTGTTTATAATTATAAATAAAAAGTGTTATCGATAAAAATTATTTTCTCATCGGTGTTACTGTCTTCATTGTCATTTTGCCCTTTTGAAAAGTATGCATAGATTCCTCATATTCTCTAGTTTTTCTTCTCATCTCTTCCTCCATTTCTCTTTGTCTCTTCTTCAATTCTTCTATTTCAGCATTTCTTGCTTCCACTTCACGGCAGCCTCAGAGTGCGCTAATGATCTCATAGTTTCCATCATGTCTGGGGTAAGTGAAGGTTGAGTCGATGATCCTTCACCATCAGCAATTTGCATTCTGAAACTCCTATCACGCCGCCGGATTGTTTTGGCGAGACCTCCAGCACCATACACTCTCCTATTTTTTCTCTTCCCACGAGATACATCATACCAAGTCTGAAAACTCAGACTAGGATCAATGGGAAATCCCGACGGAGGTGGTGTATATTCAGGATGATGTGATAATCTTAGGGCAAGCTGTTTTTCATACTCCTCCTATTAAAAAGAGTAGGTGTTATTGCAATTTAAATTATGCTAGACACAAAAGAATAAATAAAATGACTAAGTTTAAGGAAAACTTACTTGAGTTTTTCTTGAGCGCTCATCAACAAACTCCCCATTTTTCTTGAGATGAGTCTCCTTATGGAGCTCATTAAGAAGCAGAGTTCTGCCCAACTCATCACGCTAAGTAGATGACATAACAAAATAGTTATAACATAATCTAAAATTGTTGAGTTAATTGCAAGATAATTAAATTTACCATTCTCCGTGCAACATCAGCAATACTAATACTACCCTAGGCGTAGTTGCAGCCACCAACTTCAGAGGCTCTATTTTTCTTGGCCTTTTCAGATGTACTCTTAAAGGAATCAGAATTCCAATGGGAAATAAGCTGCTCAAATACATCTAGACTTATCCAACAGGGACGCAAGCATTTATTTTCCCAAGTAATTCTAACACGCCTCATCGTGTAGAAAATCGTTGAGCACATTTAATGTTAAAATTATCTCTTATTTGGATATCATCTATAGGGTCCCAACAACATTTCTCCTTCAAAAAATATGAAATAAAGTTATAATCGTGATTGAGTGAATTACTTTAATAAAGGTAAAAAAGATTAAAAAAAAGATTAAACAAAGTTGATTATACCTGAAATAACCTAAACCAAGCCTCCCTCTCATCGCCATCAACTACACCATACGTAGGCCAAAATTTGTTATACTTTTCTTTAATGATCTCAGTTATGCAAGCTGCTGCCTGATGTGATGGGTAAAATCTAAACAACCAAAATATGAGTTAGTAATTAATTATAAACGAACAACTAAAATTTATAATTTAAACATAAACACTTACGATGATCCCTCTGGCTGAATGACAAATCGTCCATTCCTCTTCCTAATCACTTGTGGCACATTTCTCAAAATGCGTGCATTCCTATGCTCTTGGTCAACCTCGTCCTGAACAACCTGCTCTGCATGGTCATCATCATCACCCTGCTCCTCATGCGGAGAATGCATGGGTGATGAATGTGACGTGCTAGATCCACCACCTGGATCCCTATACTGCATAAATGTTGGATCTATAGTAGGTATGGAGGTGCTAGGTCCAGCCTGGGGCATATAAGATGTATGTCCAGGAGGACTAAGAAAAGCTGAGGGGGAAATGTCAGGAAATGTAGAATAAAGTGTGGATAGTAGGTCTGTGAATGTAGAAGGATAAGGATGCATAGATGGTGGTCTGGAACGCATAGATGGTGGAGTGGGATGCATATGTGGTAGAGTGGGATGCATTGATGGTGGAGTGGGACACATAGATGGTGGAGTGGGATGCATATGTGGTAGAGTAGGATGCATTAATGGTGGAGTGGAATTCATAAGAGGACGATGTGGCTGTTGACTCGATTGTGGCTTGCACTATGCATTGATGCAAACATCATTTGCAACCTAGGTATTATTGGCAGATAGAACACCGACTTCACTGCAACTCGTTTTTGCTTTCCATCAACGCCTTTACTGCGAACTAAATACCTCAGACTCTTACAAAATTTACATTCCTTCAAAGCCCCATCATTTATGCCAAACTCATTGTCATAGAATAGCATACAACCTCCAATGCAACAATCAATCTTTTTTACTTCTAATCCCAACTTCGACACCATCCTCTTTGCATCATAGTAACTTGTAGGCATGTTTTCTTTCATAGGAGTCGCATCCAACATCATTTTTCCAAAGAACTACAAACACTGATCTGGAACATTCCAATTTGACTTTGCAGCCAAGAGTCTCACACACATTGAGAGCCTAGAGTCAAAAGATCCCTTAAACAATAGTATATTTATCTCTTTCAACAACTGATAAAACTTTTGTGCATTCTCATTCGGAAGCTCTTCCGCATCAAAGTCTTCAGGTTCATCGTAAGCCACATTGACTCCAAATGCATCACTTACCATATCCTCTACTAGATTAAATTGCTCCTGGTATTGCATTTGTGCTTGACTACTCGAACCATCTATATTTTTGTCTGGTCCAACATGTGTTTGATTGCTATAAGCTTCCCTATTCATCTCTGGCAATTTTTCTCCATTAGATGTCCAAATCCAATAATTTGGCCTAAACCCCACTCTCTCCAAGTGTTGTTTCACTTCACTACGGTCACTGATTATATTTCTACAACCACACTTTAAGCATGGACATCTTACCCCTCCATCTCTACGACACCATTCGTGAGTAAAACGCATATGTGAGAAACATATCAAGTCCTTCCTTAAATTGTGGTTGTAATAATATATCAAGCCCACGTCTTCCCGAAAATATTCTATCATACATCCAACTACGATAAAATTGATAATATTCCATACTGCACATTTATAATATTATTTATGTTTAAATTTATTAGACAAAAGGGGGAGTAATAATATATCAACAAATAAGTAAGTATACTATTTTTATTAATAATACAGTATACTAAATAAGTATGTATACTATTTTTTTATATAAATTAAATATATTATATTTTATTTAAATAAAATATACTTTTTTATATACTAAATAAGTAAGCATACTATTTTTTTATATAAATTAAATATATTATGTTTTATTTAAATTAAATATACTTTTTTTATATACTAAATAAATAAGTATACTATTTTTTTAAATATGTAAATATACTATTTTTTTATATAAATTAAATATATTATGTTTTATTTAAATTAAATATACTTTTTTATATACTAAATAAGTAAGTATACTATTTTTTTTAAATAAGTAAGTATACTATTTTTTTATATAAATTAAATATATTATGTTTTATTTATACTAAATATTTAAATTACATATAAACTAAATATACTGTTTTTTCTATAAACTAAATATACTAATATTATATAGATTAACTATATATTTGACATATTTTATATAAATTAAATATACCTTTTTTATATAAACTAAATACATATTGTTTTCCAAAATAACTAAGTAAACTATTTATAAACTAAATATACTGTTTTTTTATATAAATTAAATATATTATGTTTATTTAAGCTAAATATTTACTAAATATACTAAGTATTTAAGTTAGATACTAATTAAAAATATGATGTTTTTTCTATAAATTAAATATACTATTATTTAGATTAATTAAATGTTTATTATCTTTTATTTAAATTAAATATACTATTTTTAATATAAACTAAATATCTATTGTTTTCCAAAATAACTAAGTAAATTATTTATAACTAAATATACTGTTTTTATATAAATGAAATATATTATATTTTATTTAAACTAAATATATACTAAATATACTAAGTATTTAAGTTAGATATAAATTAAATATATATATTGTTTTTTTTATAAACTAAATATACTATTATTTAGATAAATTAAATATTTATTATATTTTATATAAACTAAATATATTTTTTTAATATAAA